ATATTCCACCTAACATTTCCCATCTTCTATATTCACTTGACTAAGACTTTATTTAAAGTTCCATCAAACCACATTCATAAAATCACCACATTTATGAACTGCTATATTTATGGAACCATTATATTTATGAAACAGGCAAAGATTAATTGTTCTAATTAAGGCCTATTCATAAATCTAGTCAAGTTCATCCATTGAATTTATGTAATATTCATTATCACTTAACCTAAATATAAGCTAGTATTATTTGAGATTGTAACTGAAAACTAGAAACTAAAGAGTGAAAAAAAACAAAAGAATAGAAGATCATACTTCTACTGCTTTTCTTATGTGTTATATCTTCTCCTTTCGTCTTATCTTATTCTATTATCTTACCTTTGTATATATTCTCACTTCCTCATACTCAAATATCTCTTATTTTATAATACGTTATCAGTACAAATTATCTCTATGTGATTTATCCTTGAGATCAATTTGAGGTAACAATATGTTTTAGGTAAAATTATTGAGATAGGACTTTAAGGTAGGAATTTTTTTTTTTTTTATCTCTGATTATCTTCAATATAATTTCATAATTATTCAAGTTTATATATTATACTAATAATTTTGAAATTTTTATTGCTATTATGGAAATTTTCAAAAATTTGAGCTTATTGCCCTTGAGAAATTGGGTTCTAAATATTTACTATGAGCTCTTGAGATAATGATTCCCTTGAGAAATCAGGCTTCAAATATTTGCTATGAACTCTTGAGATGATGGTTCATTTTGCTATAATGAATCATAAAAATTCAATTATGGGAGGGAGTAAAGAATCCCAAAAAAAAAAAAGAAAAAATTTCCTTGAGGGAAATAAAGCATTTTGATAGGATTGTGCTAAAAGTATTGTTTTATTATCAAATCCACAAAGGGTTAAAAAGGTGATATTTGAGGAACTAAAAAGATGATATTTGATGATAAAAGATTCATTGGAATCTTGGGATAATTTGGAAGAAAGGTATGATTACCCAAGAAGAGACAAAAAATTCTTCTAAAAACTGGTTATGAATGATCCATTGATTATTTGGTGTCATCTACAAAGATCTTGAATTACCTCGTGGAAAAAATGATTTTGATGAAAATATTTTAAAGAAGATACACTATTTTTTCATTTCTCAAATATGCTTTAATAGTAGTAATATCAGGAGGGCAATTTGATAGATATACGAAAGGTTACTATATCATTGTTGATATTTTGATTATCCATCACAACTCAATAGTTTCCTCCTATTTTACTAAAGTGGATGTGGTATAATATAATAATTATGGGTGTGAACATGGTCATTATCATGTCTATAGTACCATGTTATTTTTCTATACATTTTCATTTTTTAATTTAATTTTGAATTGTATAATAAGAAGTAATGCTCCTCTGTCCCATGATTTATTATATTCGCATGTTATGTGATTCAGAATCCAGGTTTCTTATTTATAATACTAGTAAAAGCATATTATTACTAAACTATTCAGGTTATTGGTAACAGTCTATTTATGATAAGTTTACTCAAATGTATTTTTCTATAATTAGTAATCTCAAATATTCCTAATATTCTTATTTTCTTCATGATCATGTGTTGTTTTCGTTTTCCTCTTCCACACCGCCAAAACGCTACTTAATTGGCCAATAACGACCTTCACGAACAAACTATTCCGATTTGAACGCTTGTAAATTTAATTGCTCTACTTTGAATCTTTCCACCTTGATGGGATCTCCAGATTTCCCCAACCAAACCCACATCGTCATTTCATCAAACACGTCGCAATCATTCCATGGAACACAGAAAAGGCGATGCCAGAATCTACATCATTGCAGCCCTTCTACTCGTTTCCCTCCTCACCGGCAGCTTCCTCTTCTCCCTCTACATCTTCCTTCCAAAAAACCAGTCGGCTCCCTGGTACCCCATCGCCGGTTTTATCCTTGTCGGCATCCCATGGATCTTCTGGATTGTCGCTTACCTCTATAGATGCTTTGTTCCGCACAACGTTAAAGTGTACGAAAGCAATACCAGTAATTTACCGGCAACGCAGCCGGACACCGCCACTCCGGTAACTGCGGGGACCCCTGCAACTAGCGCTTCGGAACATGATCGGGGTTGGGTGTCACCGGAACAGACCCCTAAAGGCGGGCGTCAAGTACATTTCGGTGGCGTCCTTGTTGTTGGCAGTGGAAGTAACGATTACGGGTCTACTATATGTGAAAGCATGCCCGATACGGATTCAAGTCGGTATTCATCGGATAGCGATAGAAGCCCTGATGAGGCTGAGATCCTTGATGGCATCTAGGGAGTTCGAGATGCCATTAACTCTTTCAGTTGCTTCTATAGATAATCCATTGGCCATGACAGATTTGTGCTAAAGAGGGTATACACAATATTGCAATGTAATGTAATGTCATCGACTTAAATAGTTTAGTGTTCATCTTCTTCTGTTGAAAATAAGAGGTTTTGAGTTCGAATTACATGACATGCGGGTGAAGTGGGATAAAGGAGAGGAGATGATTGCCTCCCATTGTGCAACCAAAATAATAAAAAAAAAAAAAAAAAAAGAGGACCCCAAGACCAAGAATTCCTGCCATTCTACCAAAATGAAAGGTGGAGGAGTCTCTAAAGGACGTTATTATGAACTTGAATTTTTATGTTTAAGATTTCACGCCCAAATCCTGAAATAGTTGAAGAGGGTTTGAGAACTAGACAGCTATTTTATTGTATAACTTATTATTTGATATACCCAAAAAAAAAAAAAAGTATCCAATGTTGAGGAAACTTTTGGATGAGTTAACAGAGCCGTCTAATAAATTGAACATTCCATGCCAAAACTGAACATGAATAGCATGATTAAAATGATTTCGTCTGCAAGAACAATGTGTAACTATGGCAATAAGAAATGGCAAGAGGTACTGATGATAGATTTCTTTCGTCTGTGACCTGTTTTAAGCTTGTTTACTTTGTTTTGCATTATGTGTTTGTTTTGTCATTTCCCTCTTCTGACTTGGCCATTGTTATGAAAATATGAGATGCAATTAATGATAATTTGGAGGACGCGAAGTTTTGATGCTTTATAGAATACAACGGAATTTAACTCAAGTGAAGAGTAAGAATGAATTGATTATGGAATATTATGAGTAATTAGACTCTGGTTGTTTTGATATTGCGGTATTTAATATGGTACTTCTGTTTGCTAAAAATTTGGAATGTTGAAGGGAACCTTTTAAATTGTGTTTATAAATTATTTTTAACATGTTTTGATGAAAGATGAATTTTGATGACTTGCATATTTTTCTAAAAAAAAAAAAAAGGAAAAAGATTATTATGAATATGAAATTTTGTCGGTATTAAGATTGGATTACCACTTGTGACATTTTCTGAAGCATGACCTTCTGGTTTATGGATATGCCCTGTTATGTAGATTTGAATTGATTATGTATTTCATCTTCAAAAATGCTAGTTCTGACTCTCTCAATGGAGATGTTTAAACATTGGTTATATCGACGTGTATATGATATCGAGGAACTAATTCCAATTATATTTCTGACTCGTTTATCTCTGGGACGTTTAATATGTGGTAACTTCTTACTCATGCCACCAGGGCAGATAATCGTGGCCATCGCATATTGAAAAGACCGTCTGTATGATGTTTACATGAAAACATTTTTTTGGTTTGAGAAAAATATTTTTGATTAAATAAAAGTGTTCTTGCACTAACAGCTTTGTAATGAGATTGAGATTTTATTTAATGAGTCTTTGGTTTTTATAAATGTTCTCTGGATTATCAAATTTGTTTAACACATGCTACACCCATGTTCGCCTTTTCAGGAATCTGCTTTCTTACTAATTATTAAGCTATACTCATTGAATTTCTTCTTCGTCATTTCAAATGCAGAAGCTCAAAATGTTAGGAATCTTTGAGACTGTATATGTTATGATTTGAGGAGCTCATATATATATATATATATATATATATATATTTGGAAAATAGAGATTTATATTGAAAAGTAAAAGAAGATTACATCATATCTATATATATTATGACACTATAATTTAAAATTGAAGTATAACCTATTGCACTAATTATAGATTTAAACTATACTCATAACGAGTCTAAATAATTAGATATAAAGAGGCATTTGCTTTTAAAGATTAAAAGCAATCGTTATAGGGGCAAAAATAGAACTACATAGATAAGAGGATTACCCTATTAAGCGATCAAAGTTTCTGTAAAATCCCATTAAAATTGCTAGTTTTTGGGGAGAGCAGATAACCCAACAGGTGACAATCTCCACTCACCAACTGTTGGTCCTTTCCTAAGCCAAACAAACCTTAATCTCCCATCCACCTGTAGTTTATGATACCTACCCACAATCTCTGCCTTAATCTACCAACCACCTTCAAATTCAATCTCCTTTGCCACCACTGACTATTGTCCCTTGGTTGTCCCGTAGAACCTAACAAGGAGGGACTTGACATATTCGAGAGAAAATCACCTTGCACAATAGTAGATTTGCCTTAAGTGAAAGAGTGGAAAGGGAATAAAGGGACGGAAGAGAAAATATACAGTCAAATATGATCAAGGAAAAATAGCGAAGGAGGAGAAGGGTGGGCACAAAAAAAAAAAAAAATTGTCAAAGGAAAGGGGAAAAGAGGCATAGAGGAGGGATTGACTTAAGGGAGGTAAAAGGAAGGATAAAGGTAAGAATGGTAATGGATCCCTACGGGGGCAAAGACCCCCTCCTGATTCCCATTCTTGCCATTGGAAGAACAAGGATTCTTACGGAGATTTTTTATGAAGGGTCAAAAAAAGCCCTCCATCCCCATAACCACCGTAATGAAAGGTCCCCATGGGGATTCTCCATACTCATAAAAGTATACAAAAATAATTTGATTCATTCAATTCTTAGGTTAGAAAAAAAAATCCAAAAGTATTTTAGAAAAAAATAGTTATTTCTAAGAATTTCTTTTTAAAGAAAATGAAGTAAACTTCGCCAAAAAAAAAAATGCAAGCTAAATTCAAACTAAGAGAAACCCATTAAACAAAGAGGTGCGGTTAGAGGAACTAAGGCAGTAGAGAGGAGAGATGAGAGAGTCAAAGTGTTAGTGACTAAGATTTGTGGGTTTGAGAATTAAGATATTTGAGTTTATTATAATTTACAAAAATAAAATTTATAATTTTTTATTAATTTAAAGTTCCCTGCAGGAATTTACAAGGTGAGAAAAATTTTTCATGAATTTTATGAGAAAAAAATTACCTCCATACTTATTTCACGAAAAAAAATATTTTTAAAATCTCCATATCGATGGAGATCTCCATAGAGCTCCATAGCATCTTCTAGCTTTTACCACCGTTCCTCTAGCTTTGGACGTTGGGGGTTTTTTTTTTTTTTTTTAATGGTTTTCCAAGGGAAGGGTTTCGAGTG